TTTTTCCTCAATGCCCTAGGACAAGCCTGAGGCCGCTGTAGGGGAATACTCCTTCTTAAGGCTGGTTTCCACTATTAGAGATGACTGTACACTTGCACCATAACTGTTCTCCAGATAAGCTTTGGGTCCCCATGACAATTTACACTCTCACTGTAAACTTGCAATTAGGAGGGACATGCTAAACCTTGTCCACAACAATCTGTCCAGTATTCTTCACCATCTGTCCAGCGTTTTCCACTACCTTTCCCAGCATGGAATGGGGCCCCCCACTGTGCACCTAGTCCAGGCTCTATATGTGCACTTGCCTTACTCTTGAACTTCTGTACCTCTGTACAGGATGGGGACCTCTAGACAGTGTGAATCTTACATTCCCATTGCCATTGGAGATAGACTGTTGGTGGAAGACATGCCGACAACATCTCGGCTATTCTCACCTGTAACAGGTACATGCTACTGACAGGCTGCAAGGCTGCAATAACTGCTGACTGTAGACTTTTTATCTATGGTAACCACTTGCTGCGCACTGCTCAGGGATGACTCCTAAAATATTTTAGTAAATTACATAGTTAGTCTGGCTGAAAAAAGACAAAAGTCCATCCAGTTCAACCATAGAAAAAAAAATGTATAATCCTACACCCACAGTTGATCCAGAGGAAGGCAAAAAAAGATGAAACAGCTGTGGTAGCAAAGCATGATCCAATATACTCCTGCAGGGGAAAAAAAAAAACTAGCCTTCCTGATCTCCTGCCCTGAGAGGCAATCGATATTCCCTGAATTACCTATAAATAGTAACCAGTTATATTTTGTGTAGCCAAGAAAGAATCCAGGCCTTTTTTTTTAAAGCAATTCACTGAGCTGGCCAGAACTAACTCTTGAGGGAATCTATTCCACCTATGATAGGTGAGCACAGCCAAACCACACATGTTCAAGAAATCTGGGTAGGAAAAGCACTGCAGCAAAGAGTTTTTTTGTTTGAGGATTACTGCTGATCAAAATGATCTATTGGAGTTATATGATGTGAGGTCACACTGCTGGAGGTGAGCAGATAACAGGTGGAGGAATAGTGCACCTCTTTTGTGTTACATCCACCTGATGGTCACAGGAAGAATTATTGCTTAACCCCCCTGGCGGTATTCCTGATTGTAGCTCGGGGTTAACTTTCAGTGCCAGAAGCAGTAACCCCGAGCTACACTCGGGAATAAACTGCAGCGTTTCTCTGGGATCCCTCGAGCACTTACCTTGTCCTGCGGCCCCACGATGTCCCCCCTGCAGCATCCCTGGCCATGTCCTCCGGCCGATGCTGTCTTTCGGGTTCCGTTCCCTGCAAGGGTCGGGACGTACGGGGGACGGAACCGGCAGGAATTTCAAAAATGTAAAAATTTTGACATTCACTCAATACACTAAAATCTGATAGTATTACATTACTGTATCAAACCATTTCACATACATTTTGTCCCTAGTGCTTTGTCCTGTGCCCTGCCTAATTTTTACCATTCTTTCTGCCTGGAAACGTACATGGCATCCAAAAAGAGTCCCTCTAGGTCAAAAGCAGTTTTAGACTAGCTAGAGAACAGAGATAGTAAATTATAACTGTGACGATTGTGCGCAATAGAGGCATGGACGCAAGACATCTTGTTAGGTCATGGCCATGTTGTCTCTCCTGTTCTCCCTCCTCCCTTTTGAATGGAATGTGAGTCTGTAAGTGAACAGAGTTCAAAAGGCCACTTATCCTAGATGAGCACAGCTGGATGAGCTCCATGGCTGTAAACTACTAATTATTCTGGCCCCCTGGGGTCTTCTTTTTTAAAAACCACTTTCTGCTGCCTGATCGTAAAACAATAACTCAGTCAGTCATGACCTATTAGGGCTAAAGCATGCCATAAAACGTACATTCCATATGAGTCATTTTTCATACAAATTTATAAACTTCAGCAGGAACTGGGCACATTAATTTGAAGTATATATTCGGATAGGTCATTTTTAATGAATCACATGACACCTTACATCCCTATGTAGCACCTACAAGAGGGTAGAAAGCAATTTCTTTTATCCGGAGTAGAAAAGATATGCTAAGTATGGTATCTGTGCGAGCAGAATATAAATCTAAATATTAATCTGCCAGCTGCTAGGATGCTACCTGTACCTATTGAAGGTTTTTGACCTCAGTATGAACTTGTAAGGGATTTTGTCATAACCTTGGTTACCGCCTAACACCCATCCCCAAATGGGACGATTGGTCATTTGTTCTCAGACACCCCTTTTGAGATGATAGAAAAAGACTGACAGCCTGGAGAAAGGGAGCTCTCCTTTTAACATCGATCATTAACTATCTTGAGAGCAAAGGCAACCTTTTGTTCGGACACTTGGACTCTGCTCAAGCCAAGGACTTTTGCAAGTATTCTGTCTTCTGAACTTCTTTTTTTTTTTATTTCTCTGCTGTTTTATTGCTCTTTTATGTCTTTTGTTACATCTTTTTCTGTAAATTTTAATTGCACCATTTTGACCTTTTTAGTAATAAATTCTATTTTCTGAAAAGTGTTGAACTGTCTCTAAAGCTTTTTAATGCAAACTAAAGAATCCCTGTCTCTGAAGAGTGCTACTGTATGTATAACCCTCTGAATACATCAGTCTGTGGTGACGGGGTGTATTACAGACGCTTATATTAATATCATAGTGTTACTTCTAAGATTTGTGAGTTTCCTCCTTCTCTGTAAAAAAGGTGCTGGTGGCAGTGAGTGTGAAGGGTTAATTGCGTAATTAACCTGACCCAGTAACAATCGCTCTCAGGTTGCTGGCACATAGATTGTGGTTGTGCAAGCTGGAAAATCTTTGTGCAGGACGCAGCTAAGAGTGGCATTGTTACACAAGTGACAGTACGGTGCGAGATCGGCTGGTCCTTCAGTCATGAGTTGGTGAGAAGGGCTGGGGTCTGTCGCTGAGTACCATCACAAGAACCACTTGCAGAATAGAATGATAATGATTTGTGGGGAAATTCTTCATCAGACACTGAAAATGATTTTGCGACTAAACTCAGTGATGTGCGAACTTGGCGCTCTATTTCAAATTTCAGTGTTTTTGGTTTGATTACATTATTGAATTAAATTTATTATTTTTTCTATTATATTATAATTTTTTTATTTCGTGTTTAAAATTTTATCATACCCGGGATCTTTACTAGATTCTTGTTCGGATAGATTTCAGTGAGTAATTCCTAAGAATTACAGGCCTACAATAAAAAAAAATATTTCCATTAAAAACAATGTACCGCATTGAGCACAGAAATACTGACATAATCAGACTGCTAGGGAGGTTAAGAAGAAATATTTTGTGACTTTTTGTTGTTTTTATGGTTTTCTCTTTTCACATAATTGTTACAAAAAATATTGTTGTGTAGCGCTGCACAGATATTATACACATATATAATATATTATAGATTTTGTATTTGCCCACTTATGAGACGTGGGTTTTGTGTACTAGAAGCTACATCTAAATATCAAAAATAATATATATCTTTTTGATTCATAGTAGCACATAAGTTTTAATTTCACATTTGCATTCTAGCAGGAGGAATACTGTTTCCAGTTCTGGAGACCTCACTTACAAAAAGATATTGGTAAGATAGTACGAGTTCAGAGATGGGTAACAAAAATGGTAAAAGGTCTGGGGGATAAAACCTATCAAGTGCGACTTCAGGAACTTAACATGTACAGTCTGGAGGAAAGAAGAGAGACATGATTGAAACCTTTTACATCAAGGGGGTGAATAAGGTTCAGGAGGGTAGTACTTTCAACACTAAACCAAATCAAGAACACTGGGACATGACCTTTAAACTAACTGGAGGAAAGTTCAAAAATAATCTCAAAGTACTATTTAACTGAAAGAGTAGTTGATACTTGGAATAAACTTCCAGCAGAGGTAGTGAGCCAGTAAACCGTAACCGGTTAACCAAACCCCCCCCCCCCCAAAAAAAAAAAAAAACAAACACAAAGGGAAAAAAAAAAACCCACATAAAAAAAAAAAAAACAGGCAGACTCCATGGACCACTCGGCCTTTTTCTGCTGTCACTTTACTATGTTTCCAAATCCTTAAGGTATTGAGTTAAACTCTGATTAAGTAGAAAAAGGTTACTATATGTATACTATAATGAACTGCATCTATCCTACAGATTACTTTTTAACATACTTTTTTTAAATAAACTTTGACTGTAAAGTCTTAACTAAAACGGTCTCAGAACATTTAGATTTTGTTATTTAAATTTGCCTATTATGGTGTCCATTTTTTTTTTTTTTTTTTTTTTTTTTTTTTTATTATTTTTGGTCGTAAGAAGTAGAGTTCGGAAGGAAACAAGGATAGGAAGTCGGGGAGGGCATCAAAATACTATACATAAACTGAAATGACAAGAGGAAATGAGCATTTAAAAAAAAAAAAAAAAAAAAAAAAGGGCGTGCAGTGGTTTTGCATCCTAAATCTATTTTGTTTTTGTTTTTGCAGAATAAAACTGATCTACGTTTAAGAAGACAAAGCTTAAACCTCAGGGAGACATAATGGCTTCTTTTATATCTGAAAACTTGAAATTTTTTGCTCTCTTCTTCAAGAGCAGGGATGTAATGATATTCAATGGGCTGATCGCCCTTGGGACTGTGGGAAGCCAGGAATTATTTTCTGTGGTGGCATTTCACTGCCCCTGTGCACCAGAGAGGAATTATTTGTATGGACTGGCTGCCATTGGAGTACCTGCTTTGGTTTTGTTTCTTATTGGGATTATGTTGAACAGCCACACGTGGAATATGGTGGCAGAATGTCGAAAAAGAGCCATAAGGAACTGTTCTACCCCAGCTACTTTTCTATTATTTGGGTCCATAGCAGGAAGGGCTGCCGTGGCACCAGTGACATGGTCTGTGATTTCACTGCTGCGTGGAGAGGCCTATGTATGTGCCCGTAGTGAATTTGTAAACCCTAACACGTTGATAGGATTGATCACTGACATTGGACCTGAAACCATGGCCAGAATCCCTTGTAAAGACACACCGAGCAGTATTTTGGCATATAAAGATGAAGTGATCAGGAGGTTACAGTATGAATCACAGGTAATATTCTGCATTAATTCTCTGCAAGCTGTTAGTGTGTGTTGACTTGCATTAAAGAAAAACAAAGAATTTTGGTTCCTTCTGTGGAAAAAATCACACACTTCAACGGAGATAGGCTCTTTAACATGTTAAAAGAACACATCCACAGTTTTTTCCAGGTTTAATATCTTGATTGGCTGGTGTTAATAGTAAATAGTGCGATAGTAGTAGTAGTAGTAAGTAGACATAGTTCCAATACTTTGCTTCTATATCAAGCAAACTCTTAAGGGTGGTTAGCGCTAATTGCATTGCCACTAAAGTGGTGTGTGAATCCAGCCTTTTCCATAGGGATATCAGAGACATAAGCACAGTTGGGGCTCTGTGTTAACTGTTCCTAATGACCAAGCTGAAGAGAACAAGGGTGAATCCATTGTATTCAGTTCTCTGTGTTGGTGATGTCTTGATGTCTTGCCCAGTGATGAAAGTATTTTGTATTTGACACCATGCTGGAAAATCAGATTCCATTTGTAAACATCCTTTATAGCACCTAGTTGTTAGGTCCCTTTCTTACACCATAAATAAGTACCATCTTGGTTGGTGTTGTTGTTGTCTTCCTTTTTTTTAACCTCCTTTTTAACCACTTGAGGATTTACCCCCCCCTTAATGACCAGGCCTTTTTTTGCTGTTTGGTGCTGCACTACTTCAACTGATAACTGCGCGGTCATGCAATGCTGTACCCAAACGAAATTTACATCCTTTTTTCCACACAAATAGAGCTTTCTTTTGGTGGTATTTGATCACCTGTGCGCTTTTTATTTTTTGCGCTATAAACAAAAAAAAACACAAATTTTGAAATAAAACAATATTTTCTACTTTCGGCTATAAAAAATATATCGTAAACTCAAAGTCATAAATTTAGGCCAAAATGTATTCTGCTACATGTCTTTGGTAAAATAAAAATCCAAATAAGTGTATATTGATTGCTTCGTGCAAAAGTTATAGTGTCAACAAACTATGGTTTAGATACTGTAATTTATGCCATTTTTTGCTATACAGCGCTGCACTAGTTAACTGACAATTGCACAGTCATGCAAAGCTGCACCCAAACAAAATTTATGTCCTTTCTTTCACACAAATAGAGCTTTCTTTTGGTGGTATTTGATCTCCTGTGCGCTTTTTTATTTTTTTTTTTGCGCTATAAGCAAAAACAAAAACCCAAATGTTTGAAAAAATTATTTTTTTTCATTTCCGTCATAAAAAATATCCAAAAAACTAAAATTTCGTCAAATTTAGGCCAAAATGTATTCTGCTACATGTTTTTGGTAAAAAAAAAATCCCAATAAGTGTATATTGATTGCTTTGTGTGAAAGCTATAGCATCTACAAACTATGGTATAAATAATTTGAAATTTACACAGCTTTTACTTTTCTGACTGTCTATCACATTACTTGAGGTGCTAAAATACCAGGATAGTACAAACACCCCCAAATGACCCCTTCTCGGAAAGTAGACACCCTGCTGAGGGGCATATTGAGTCCATGGAAGATTTATTTTTTTTTCCACAATTTTTTGGAAAATGACAAAAACATTTTTTTTGTTTTTACACAAAGTTGTCACTTAAATGATATATTGCTCACAAAAGCCATGGGTATATGTGGAATTACACCCCAAAATACATTCTGCTACTTCTACTGAGTATGGGGATACCACATGTGAGACTTTTTGGGAGCTCAGCCACATACAGGAGCCTGAAATCCAATGACCACTTTGAAAGCCTGAAGGTGCGAAACTTCTTCATTTCACTTCCTCACTACCTATCACAGTTTCGGAGGCCCTGAAATGCCAGGATAGCACCAAAACCCCACAAGTGACCCCTTTTTGGAAAGTAGACATCCCAAGGAATTTAAAAAGGGGCATGGTAGGTATTTTGCAGATCTCATTTTTTTCTCACAAGGTTTTGAAATATAAAAAAAGAAAATATGTTTTTGTTTTTTCTTTCTTCATTTTCCAAAAACTGTTGTGGCAACAAACAAGATCTGCAAAATACTCACCATGCTTCTTATCAAATTCCTTAGGGTGCCTAATTTCCAAAAATGGGTCATTTGGGGGGGTTTAGTGCTATTCTGGCATTCCAGGGCCTCCGAAACTGTGATAGGTAGTCTGGAAGTATAATAGGGAAATAAAGCCCTTTGAAAGCCTGAAGGTGCTTATTGGATTTTGGGGTCCTGTGCTTGGCTAGACTGACAAAACATCTCACATGTGGTACCCCCATACTTAGGAGAAGTAGCAGAATGTATTTTGGGGAGTAACCACATATGCCACATATACCTATGGCATGTTTGAGCAATAAATTTATTTAAATTACAATTTTGTGTTAAAACAAAAATTGTAATTTTTCCAAAAACTTGTGGTAAAAAACTAAATTCTTCTATTGCTTCAACGTGCCTCTCAGCAAATAGTTTGGGGTGTCTACTTTCCAAAAAGGGGTCATTTTGGGGGGTGGGGGCATTTTATGCCCAGCATTAGAAGTTTATGCCACACATCACTCACTCTTCTAACAGCCTGAAGACCAAGCCTTTTCTGACACTTTTTGTTCACATTAAAAAAAAATCAGTATTTTTGCTAGGAAATTAATTTGAACCCCCAAACAAAATATTTTTTAGAGCGGACACCCTAGTGAATAAAATGGTGGGTGCTGCAATTTTTTTTTTATCTCACATAGTACTCACACAACAATTTTTCAAATGCAATTTTTTTGAAATACACTTTTTTTTTTTTTTTTTTTTTTTATTTTAATGCACAAAAACACAATATATTGGCCAATTATTTGGTAAGATCTAAAAGATGATGCTATGCTAAGTAAATAGATACCAAACATGACATGCTTTAAAATTGTGCATGCCCCGTGCAATGGTGACAAACTGCATACATTTTTAATATCTATAGGCAACGCTTTAAAAGCCTTTACAAGCTACCATTTTAGATTTACAGAGGAGGTCTAGAGCTAGAATTACTGCCCTTGATCTGACGATACCTCACATGCATGGTGCAACCGCTGTCCATACTGGCACAGGGTCAATGCTCACGATCGCAGGTGCGCGGGGGGGGGGGGGGGGTGAGGGTACTTTTTTTTTTTTTTTTTTTTTTTTTTAAACTGCGGATGAAAAATCTCATCCAACAGTGCTGCCCACACTGATTTATGTATATTCTGAGAGCAAGTTCCTGTTGCTGTCAGAATAAACAGGTCAGTGCTGCAGCTGAAAGCATTCCTGCAAACAGCAAAGGTTAACAATAAAACAGTAAAAGTAGAACAATAACAAAAAAAACCTACCGTATTTTTTGCCATATAAGACGCACCTGACCATAAGACGCACCTAGGTTTTAGAGGCAGAAAACAGGAAAAAAAAAATTCTGAACTAATGGACTGCAGACACAGTACAGGAGATGACCAGAGACTGCGGACAGCACAGGGATGACCAGAGACTGCGGACAGCACAGGGATGACCAGAGACTGCGGACAGTACAGATGACTGCTGACCTTTGGGGAGGTGGGGAGCGGGTACCTGAATTTGACAGGTACCCGATCTTACCTGTTCCTCGATCCAGCCGCGCGCTGTCTTCCCGGCTTCTGTAATGGCGCTCGGCATGACAGCCGGGTGCCCAGTGCGCATGAGCGAGAAGAACTTGCGCTTTGTGATTGGTCCGGCGGCTTCTGGGATCTGTCATGTGTCCCAGGTACCACCTTACCATTCACAAAAAGCACCGCTTCTTGCGCATGCGCACTTGGCACCCGGCTGTCATGCCCAGTGCCCACACTACAGAAGCCGGGAAGACAGCACGCCGCTGGATAGATGAACAGGTAAGGTCCCGCTGCAGAACTGAGCGGCCGGCCCGGTATTCTGACACGGCCGCGGTGGAAATATCGGACCGGCCGCTCCATATTCGCCTTATAAGACGCACTGACATTTCCCCCCCAGTTTTGGGGAAGAAAAAGTGCGTCTTATACAGCGAAAAATATGGTATATCTAATCTTAGTTTTTAAAAAAAAAAAAATATTTTTTGTGGGATTTGTACTTGCTTTTTTTTTTTTTTTTTTCAAACTTTTAACATGTTAAAAACAGATGGTAGGGTCTCTCCAAATGCAATAGTCAGTTTCCTGACTACCTAACATCTTTCGAGACCCTGTGTAACTGTGCCCTGCTGTACCCTATACTAATAGTCCACTAGTGTATGGTAGAGGCAGAAGCAGTTCTTGAGGCAGAGGCCAGGTTGGCCAGGACAGGAGGGACAACAAAAGCGGCGGTCATGCCTAATTCCATGTCTGCTACAGACACAACATCTTTTTTGGGGTTTTCTTTGGGTTGGGGTACCAGGAATGGCATCGGGAAAATGCCCTCTCATGCAGCCGGCTAACTGCATCTGGGTGGGGGTTTGGGGCATAGCACCTTCTGGATACAAAAGGGCCCTGATGATCTCAAACTGGAGTTTTAGAAAGGATCCACTATGTCCAGTTGCTTTGTAAAGAACAAAAGCATTTATATATAGCCAATTGAAATAAATAAACAGACATTTTTTTATACTAGCGTCTGGCTTTTCGGGAAACTAAGTACGGCTTCATCATCTGGTCGTTGAAGTCCACCCCTCCCATGTTAAGGTTATAGTAGTGGACACAGAGGGGCTTCTCAACAACACCAGCTGCCGTGGCAATTTTAGATGGTCGCATCTGCGTGAATGGAAGACAGGACGAAAACATCCCGTTTGTCCTTCCACTTCACTGTGAGCAATTCCTTTCTCAAGCAGGCTTTTTCCCTCTTTCTAAGATGGGTATTTACAAGCCATTGGGGGAAGCCCCGGCGATTAGTGCCACATGCGCAAATTCCAAGATTGAACAAATGTTTAAATCCGAAACTTACACGTATAGCCTGTTGCTCTCTCACAGGTCTTATACACCTTGACCCCATATCTGGCACGCTTGCTGGGGATATACTGTTTGAATGCAAGGCGGCCAGAAAAATGAATGA